GAGAGAGAGAGAGAGAGAGAGAGAGAGAGAGAGAGAGAGAGAGAGAGAGAGAGAGAGTAATAATAGGGTTGAGAGGTACCGCCAGTCTTCCAACCTAAGTAGGTTCTCCTTTGTGTGTGTTTCAATATATACGCATTAGATGCACACGCATGTACGTGTTTACATTGCTGGGTGTGCTTGCATGAGTTTATTTCTGTGTGTGTGTGTGTGTCTGTGTCTGTGTGTGTCCTCATTTTTGCCTTTGGTGTTGGTGGGTGACTAGTTCACTTTCCATTTTTTACTTCTCTCTCTCTCTCTCGTTCTTCCCCACTTTTTAAAATTTTCCCTGCTTTGCTGCAGATTCGTTTATATATATATATATGTATATCTGTGGCAGCTTGTGGTAAATCTTCTGCATTACTGCATTACGTCTGGTAGACGAACACAGGGAATTATCCACATAATATTGCCTCTTTAGAGCTGAAGAGTGGCTGTGAGGACTACCGTGGGCCGCCGGAGGGCGAGTGGGGAAGTGGAGGAGAAAGGCTTCCAGAGGAGCAGCGAGGAAGACAAGGATAGAAGAAAGAGATAACTTCCACGCCATGACCAGTAACACACATCTTTCGCACTGTACAATTGAAAAGCAGACAGGCAACGCCACGCACCCTTCGAGCTCGGAGGGGAGTCTCAGGTCGACACTTGCAAGGCTTCAAAACTCCCTCTCTCCACCGACAGCCACCGCGGAACTTTTGGAGGAAATGGAGATGTGTCAACTCCAAGCATGGTGATGACGGAAATAAGTCGCATGCCATGCGTACACGACGTGGTGGATATGCTCCACGTGTGCACGTCAGCGAGCCGTCAAACGACAACACCACCCAGCCAGTTTAGTTTAGTCCGCCCGTTCCAGACAGAGATTGTCTTTGGTGTCAAGAGTTTTTTTTTGGGATACCAAAAGTTTATTTCAATGTAGAGCTGCTTGTCTCATGTTCAACAGTGCACTATTGTTTCATGGTATTCAGCTCCCCATTGCGGCCCTTACTCGTCTTCTGTTGGACACTGCAACTGTCACAGATACATTAACCGAGGTGGTGTGTGGCCGCGAGGTGATACTTTGGCGGAGGGAGCGAGCCAGGGCAGCTCTGGATGATGAACGACGTGGCAGCCAGGCTTGTGCAGGAGATGGACATGAATGATTTTAATAAAATGCGGTTGGAGAGAAAAGCCCTAAGGTTGCAGCTGCGTGTTGTGCATAGAGGTCCTCTCGCCGCGCCACCGAAGGGTGGATGGGGTACCAGGCCAATTGCCATCGTGTGCAATATAACATCCGCCGTAATTGGTTTAACGCCACATCTCTGAGTTGCATGGAGGGTGTGGCAGTTTCCCCGGTCATCCTACCCGATGGAGATTTGTGCATTAACGATCCCATGGACATTATTTTTTTATGCTTGACAAGGCTGCGACATCATTTCATGTGCCACGCGACGTGCCAAACAGGAGTTGCCTTCAAGGGAGGCTGAGGCGCGTCGAGGCTTCTAGTTTCTTTTCGATGAGGTCACGTTTGCATAGCAGGTGTTACTTATATGTATAATGACTCGTGCGTGGGCCCTCTTCTTGTGGGACTTGAAAAGAGCAAAAAGATTGCTTTTAACGGTATGTATCCCTGTAGTGAAGGCTCTTGAAAGCCGTTTGGTAGTGGGGCTGGAGCATGGGAAACCACACCCACAGCCTGGGGATGACGAGTGCTTCGCTTCTCCACCACAAGCAACGGCCAGGAAGATGCCAAGGTGTTGGCTTGCCACTTCATCACGGGGGAGACTTTGGGGACTTTTATTCCGTTAGACGGGGACGCTGTGGGACTTCCAGACCACGAGTGGAGCGGAGTGTGGCGGAATTGGCGGTCGTCACACAAAAGCACGGTTTTGATGTAGGTTTGAGCCGCACCCTTGTCCTTAAGCACGAACAGGACGCCACCGCCTTATTCATATCAACCCGTATACTTCCAAACGCTTATCTCATTTCGGGGAACATGTTAAAGATTATTCTGCTACAGCACGCACTGGCAGAGAGGAGTTATGGTGTGGGTAACAGTGTACAGGGCAACACGAATCAGAGTGGCAATTTTTCAGCTGCATCCGTGGCCGCCGTCCACGCTGGCGCTGGCGCTGGCGCTGAGTCTGGGGTAACGAACTTTGTGGCGTTTGTCTCGTCTGGTGAATCAGTTGACGAACACACCAGTGAGACAACGACTCAGCCCATCAGCACCACATGGGAAGATAGTTTGGGAGTGGGGATGCGTGGGAAGGGCACGGTTAACACAAATCACGTAATGGTAAAGTGTATGTTTGTCGTCTTTAACGAGCAAACAACTCTGTCGTCTGAGGTGGCTGTGCTTCAGCGTCGGGAAACGACTACAAGGGACTGCTTGGACGAGAGTGAGCCAACTATTGCCTGTTTGACGGCAAGTAGCATCTTTATTTACCAAAAAACGGATCGTTCGCGATGTAAAAAAGGTGTAAAAATGTGTCTGGACTGAGTTCAGCCTTGACACGCGTGGGAAAGGCAGGTATGATAACCAGACGAGTATTAA